CATACTAACAGATAATCAAAGTACGAAACAAGACATGACCATACTAAAGTACAAATGCCTACCATTACATTAAAAACACATAAAAGAGCTACTAAGTAGTAAGGCTACCAAAATAGACCATTTAGAGTGTTAGTTACCTGGGCAACGGTCTGTTCGGCGATGGGAATGTCATCGTTGCGCAGATCGACTCGTTTCACGACGGATGAGGGATCCGCATCCAGGATCATTCTGTTAAAAAAGAAGTTATAATTTGATTAGTTCTTATATGTGGACTATAAGGATATATACAGTGATGGGGAAAATAACATTGTGTTTAAAGTTTACCCAGAAATAACATTGTAAAAATGTTTTAAAACTAGCATCAGAACATGTACAATATTTTTCAATTAACCAATGTCTTATCACTTAGTTTTTAGATGGAAGTCCCAACAATAGAATCTTGCTAAGGAATTTGGCTTGGTTATTTGGTTATAGCCTTATATTTAACAAATGTAAGCTATTTGTATAAAATAAGATGGTTAATTTGGTAAGTCCAAACGACGTTGTCTTTAAAACTTAATATATTGTACTTGAACTAAATGAACCACTTGCCTAAAACCTTGAAAAAACCCCTGATTTGGTTCGTTTGCTTTCAGTTTAAGACCTAGCTTCATAAAATAATTCCCAATAATACAAATTGTAAGCTATAAGAAGTATTGAATACACAAAAGCATCGGCAATCTTTAAACCCAGATTCCTTTCATCACTGGCGCTATATACATATATCTATATATACACCCACCCTCCGTCACAGATCTCGTCGAAGGCGAGCATGATGATCTCCAGGTTCTCCAGCACCAGTCGCTTCTCCACGTTCTTCTTGAGGATCAGGCTGATGGAGTCGTAGAGGCAGTTGAGCACGGAGAGCAGGATGAGCTCGTTCTCGTAGGCGTTGCCCATCACGTAGAAGAAGAGGTCCACGTTGCTCTTGTAGACGCAGGTGAGCCCGTCCAGCATGATGATCTCCGTGTTGGAGCGGTGCGTCTTGTTGAACAGATTCTTTTCGAAGGCCTTCTGCTCCTTCAACGTGGACAGGATGTTCTTGTCGTAGTACTTGGCCAGGATGCGGTTGCCATCATTGTCCATGATGCACATGCCCTTGATGATGTCCTGCGGCACATGGTGGGTTTCAATATAAGCCAGTAATTTATGTTTTTTGCAATTTACCATCATGAATCCGTCCATCTTAACTTGTTTTCGTGTCTTACACGTCACTTTAGTGGGACCGTAACCCCGACCGCTTAAATATACCAAATATTCCAGAACAAGCTATAGCTAGGAGCAATGTTTAAAAAAAAGCTAGTTTGGCTACTTTTATTTTTATTTTTATTGTATTTATTGCTCAATATAGTTTGTATTTCCTCTTTAAGATTTATTGGCAGCAACAATGCTTTTATAAAAAGAACTTATAATTTCAAGAATAAGTTTAAATTTTAAAAGGTCGTAAATAGCTAAATGGTCATTGCCAATATAAAAGGTAGATGGTGAAAAACTTCGCTAGAGATTTAGATCATGATAGAAAACTTTGCTATAAAGCTAAAACATTTTTGAATGTAAATTAACAGCCCGCCAAAAAGTCATAATTTCTGAAAAGAAATGTTAACAGAAATGGAACTGCGAATTTTTTTTCGAAATTAAAATACTTTCATTTAAAATTTGAATTTGATTTTTAAGTTCCAAAGCCTTACCTTTGCTTTGATTGTTTTAAAAAGAAGAGAAATTGCCAGAACATAGGAACCACTGACGACAACCAAAATTGTGAATATTTCGTTATATCTACAGATACACGTACAAATTATTTGCGCTTAGCCCAACGAAATTGTTCGATTCGATTGTGTATATTTTTATGTTAACAATAAGAACCCATTGCGATGGACACGCTGCCGGATGAGTATGTGGCCAAGCTGGATCAGTGTCAAGATCAGGAGTGCCTGGGGGGTGGCAAGATGGATCGCTCTTCGAGGCGCCGGCATGACCATGAAGCCATGAGCATGGCCGCCGCTCATGTGGTGGTGGCCACCACGGCGGGCAAACCGAAGCCACCGAAGCCACCCAAGCCGGAGGGCAAAAAGCTGCGCAAGAAGCTCACCGAATGCGAGCAGGAGAATCAGTCACTGACCCAGACCATTCAGGACAAGAATCAGGAGATTTTTGCCTTGAAGAAATCCGTAGATTCGCTCAACGAAGTTCTCAATTCGGTGCCCATTGATGAGCTGCGCTGCAACTCCTCCATTGCCAGCACAAAGATCCTGGAGTTGAGCAAGAAAAACCGTCAGATGCGCGCCGAATTGGAGCAGTTGAAGAATCGTCTGGTCAAAAAGGATGGGCAGATCGAGAAGATGGAAAAGGAACTCCGCCATCACGACGAGAAGGTGCAGCAGAACCAGGAGCTTCTGAAGAAGGGTTGCTCACCCGAAGAGCTACAGGCCAAGATCAATAGTATGCAGCAGAAGCTCTTCGAGACGCGCAACAAGAACACCGAGCTGCAAACTCAACTGAAGCTGGCCCAAAAGTGCCTGCAGCACGAGATGGGGGAGAGCTGCAACATCAACATACTGGCCAACAATCTCAATCAGGCCAATTGGCGTGGTCGTGCCCAGCAGATCATCACACTCACCCAAAAGGTGCAGGAGCTGAAGGCCCGACTGGAATCGTATGAAGATAGATCTGCAGATCGCGCAGAGTATGCCCCAGTTACCCTGGGATGCGATCTTGACTTGGTGTCCGGCAACCGATCCCATTATGCCAGCTCGGAGAGATTGGGTGGAGGCGATGGTGGCGCTACGACTGCCAGCTTCGATCGCTTCACTCCGGGCGTACGAAAAAGTGAGATCCTCCACCGCGCTAAGGTGGAATCTCTGGAGAAGGAGATCCTTAGTCTGCAAGCCCAACTGGAGGAGCAACGTGGCAAAACACTCGCTCTGAAGGTCAGAAACAAGACCCTCAACGAGGACATGAACAAGTACAAGATGCGTTTCAATGAGCTGGAGGAGCAGACCGACTTCAATGGCGTCAACATCAATACCATGAACGATAAGCTCAATCGCCAGCGGATCCAGTATGAGGCCCGCTTGGACGACATGCGCAGCGAAATGATCCGGGTGACCGAGGAGCGGGATCTCTCCCGGCGCCAGATGGAGGAGCTGAGCGGCATGCACTTGGAGCTACAGACGGTGGTCAAGCAGAAGGACGCGGCCATGGCCAGTCTGCAGGAGAAGATCAAAAAGCTGGAGATGGATCTGCGCGCCCTCTCCGGCGGATTCCTCTTCTCCTGTCGCGAGTTTCGAAAGGTAAAGCTTCCAAAAGGGGTTTAATTTTAAAAACAAAAATATTTTTTAAATGTACGTTACGTCTTACAAAAGTTGACCAGACTTTATAAAATTGTCTGCATAAAAAAACACCCAATTTCTATTAGATTCTTTTATTATCTCATTTCAATTAGAAACAATTTTTAAGTTTGTAATTATAAAAACATGCCTGACAGACCTAATTAAAATTATTATTTTAAAATTATATTAATTGCAACAAGCTATAAGCTGTATTGTTTTGAATTAAATAGTAGTATGTTCAAGAATAATTTTTAATTCAATACTAAATAATAATAATAATAATTTAAGCCCTATACTTTTTGCTTTCATTTCTATAGAAGACTCTAAAACCCAAAAGCTTAAAATTTATGATACAATAGTTTAGTTTCTACGACAATTTTTTTGTTGGGTGCACATTAAGTAGGAATATTCAAAGCAACATTAAAAACCACTTAATAGAAACTTTCTTATTACATATTCAAAAAAAAACGGTAAAATCCACTTAATAGGACCTTTCTTCTGATTTATTTTCTGATTTTTAAAATTAGAATTAAATATTTTTTCCAGGAGGAATTCGTGGGCATCCTGGATGCCCTCGAGGTGGAGAAGAACCAGCTTATGTTGCTGACCAAAACTCTGGGCGAACGTCTGGAGACGGAGCGCACAAAAAATGATGCTGCCCAGGAACAGATCGGCAAGTTGAAGGCTCGTATCAGCCGGTTGGAGGTGAAGATCAGGGACTTGGAAAAGGAGCTCGATGTGCAGTCCGACAAGAAGAAGCGCACCCAGCGAATGGCCGACTATGCCAGTTCGCTGAGTCGCACTTCTCTCAACGGATCGATTGGCTCCTTTAGCTTCGAGAATCAGTCCCAGTACCAGTCGATCGGCACTCTGAGTTCAACCGGACAGTCTGAGCCCAGAATAGAGGATCTCAAAAATCAGTGAGTTTAGCAAAGACATTAAGTTCCAAATTTATCATTTATATATTTTAATTTTTTAAATGGAATATTGTTCAAGGTGCTAAAGATAATTTAATTTATTATAGGTTGAACATTGAAAACGTTTTTAACTCTATAAAACGAATTAAAATATTTTCTTATTTATTGGCAATACAATACCAACATTTAGGGTTTATAAATTAATAATATTTTATTTTCTTACACAAGACTACACTTAAAATCTTAAAATAGCATTTATATTGATGAATCTCGCATATAGTTACAAAAAAATTATTTTATTTTATTGCAGTCTTGAACTGGCTAATGAGAAGATCACCATGCTGACTGAGAAGCTGGAATATGTCACCGAGGAGAAGCGTGCTGATGCCAAGTTATTTGAGGAGACCATGAACAACTCGAAAACCATAATCCTGGATACCATTAAAGCAGCTCGCGAAGGTGGAATACCAAGCAGCAAAAATATTGAACAAACCGCCAGCGAAAGTTCCATTCATTAATTGAGATGGACAAACATAATTTGTATTTTGATTAATTTTTATGTTCTTTCCAATGCGATAAACTCGACGCTAGGTCGTGCCAGTATCATTAATTGCGAAACAATTATTAAATTTAATTGCCATTGGAATTGATCATCCAAAAATGACCGAACAATAGAACGCACAAAATGAAGAACAAAAGAAAAATGCTTTTTAAATTTTTATAATTTTTATTTTATTTGTAACACGTTCACAAAACGAAGCCTTTGGCGCTGCTTCTATTTCAGGATAAGTTTAGATTAATTCATGTTTTTGTAAGGTGATTTTTCCACTCGAAGCATTTTAAATTGCATTATGCCTATATATTTTGTTAATAATTGTTGTCTATAGCTATGTATGTATGGGTGTGGTGAGTGTGGATTAAGTTAAGTTAATAATACATTATATAGCTTGACTTGCCATAGAAAAACATTCCTCCAATCACATATTAAATTATTTTTAGTTGCCGTTTGTAAATTGTTTCGATATTTGCGTTTGAAATTCGTTCTCCATTCTTTGCATATTGTATGAAGATGTATAAGTTACAGTATAGGTATATTTTATTGATTTTTTAATGCATTATTGATAAGCCTAGTAAATTGGTTTTATCTAAAAAACACTTGTTAGCAAATTAAAGGCACTTTCAAGGATATATTTTGTGAAACGAAACAATATCTCCTTATTATCGTCTTCAATTTAACACTAGAAACAAACAATATTATTATTATTCTCTTAACAAAAAAATATATATTAAAAACATGAATTTCCCCCCCAAAAAACAAGAACAATATTTCCCATGTCCACCTCTTTTACACAGATAAATTGACAAAATTGTAGGGATCCGAATCTAAGTAGGCTAATGCGAATAGCTTTCAAAAAGCCTAAGAAAACTGGGAGGGGGAAATTTTGGTTAGCTATTGCCCCATAAATAGTATTTAGAGAACTTCTAATTAAATTAGAATACGTTTGCCTTGGAATTTGGCTATCCATAACTTGTTATGCTGAAGCATTTTAGCTAGAAGAGTTAGTTGTCTATTTGTATATGATTGCTTAGCTATAGCGTACGATTAGCTGATTAACTTTTTGTATACTCTTCAATAAATATCTGTATAAATTTGATTCGTTTAAGGGCTGTAGATAAATGCAAACTTGGCTGGGTTAGCTTGGTCGCTCAATTTCATATTGGAATCGAGGCAAATATATGATACGCGGACATATATCGGCCGATTCATAGCTGAAACACAATCGACTCATCTTGTTGATTTCTCGTAACTCTGCTGGGGCTCTGTTTATTCGACAATATGAATATCGGATTGTTGGTTCATGGTTGGATTACTATTAATTTTACAATTAATTTCCCGTCTCTTTATACATAATCCACTGCTTTTCTATATATAGTATTTATATATATATATAACTATGTATGTAGGGGGATGTAATATAAGTTAATGCACTAAAGATTTAGATTTTGGGTGTTGTTGGTTGGTTGGTGGGGTGAGAGTGACCCCCATCATCGCCGTCGCCGCCTGAATACGTGATTGAAATAGTAGTAAATGTCCTGCTCGGCCTGCTGCTGAGGCGTCTTCTTGGCCATGTCCTGCTGCTGCTGCTTGGGATCCACTTGCGGATGGTAGTTACTGTAGTGGTTGTAGCCATGCATGTCGTACGGATTGTGGTGACCCGGATGCATGCCTGCCGGCGGAGGGACTCCGACTCCAACACCTCCGCCATGGACACCGTGCCGGCCGTTCCTCATCATCAGATTCGCGTGCATGTTGCGATCCGCGACGAAGACATTGACGAAGAAGGCGAGCACGAGCAGGATGTAGAGCAGGCAGACGAGGATCACCACAAACTGCTGGCGACAGCAGCAGTAGTAGAACATTCCCTATTATATAACCGCCTGTTCCACATAGTTGGCGGGCAGCATGCCGGTCTTGCCGGTACGCTCCACCCGACCGGTCATCCAGCCGGAATCGATGGACTCCACCTCGAAGATGACGTCGCCCTCGCGGAAGCTGACCTCGTCGACGTCCTGCGCCTCGTAGTCGTAGATGGCCCGATAGACGCGCTAAATAAAAGCAATTGAATATACATAAATTGAACATTGTTTTTCAATGAAATATCAGCCAATATTACCAATGCGGTGCTCTGACGCGACTGTTTATCCTGCAGAGAGGAGTAGGATGGCTGCTGTCGCATCTGCTGCTGCTGCTGCTGCGACGGGTGTTCTTGCTGTTGCATCATCTGCACCTGTTGGTAGTACTGCTGGTGCTTTTGCTGCTGGTGAGCTTGCTCGGCGGTGCTCAGCGATCCATAGATGCCGTTGGCCGGATCGATATCGGTAACGGATCCAATTCGCTTCGGGTACACGCTGTTGCCTGTGGGGGGATTCAAATCTTGATTAGTTTCCGATTCCCTAAGTGATTTCTACTAGCTGGGGACAAGGACAAGATGACTGTGTTACAAATCGAGCTGAGCGCACTACCTCGAACTACCAGCTAGCCTGCCCCACAACAAACTTACCACCTTGAATGCCGCCCCGTGGCTCGGAGCTGTAGACCAAAGTGGTGCTGGACCTGCTGGCATTGGGCACCACCCTTGGACCATCCGTCAGCGGATCGTAGTCCGCTATTTTCCCGATATTGCTGCTGCCGCCGGACACAAGTTGCTGTTGGTGCTGCTGCTGCTGCTGCTGGTTTGGCACATGGCCATTGCTGGCATGCTGTTTAATGTTAACCGAATTTTCCGAAGGTGTCACTGCGGCATAATTGGGCGAGGCGTACAGCTGCTGCAGGTGATTCTGGGCAACTCCCGGTCCGGCTGCTAGTGGTGCTCCTGCTGCCACTTGTTGCTTGCCGTTGCCATCGTAGGCCACACTGGCCGCCGAGCGTCTCATTTGTGGCGGCAACATTTGGCTCTGGGAGCCGTGACCGTTGTTGTTGATGTTGCTGTTGCTGTGATTGCTGTGCGAAATGCCGCCGTTGCTCGGATTGTTGTTCAGCAGGCTGTGGTGCGATTGCTGCTGCTGTGGGGCAGCCACCAGCGTGGGGTTGCTGATGTGCTGCTGCGGCTGATGTTGCTGCGGCTGTGGCTGGTCGTACTGATCCACGGAATTGCCGCTGGGATGATGGGAGTTCTGGAGTATGGCCGAGCGCATCTCATTGTAGCTGTTGAGCGCCTGCTGCTGCGGGTTCGCCGGCGTCTGAGGCGGTGGCATCTGTTGTTGCTGCTGCTGCTGCTGCTGGGATGTTGCTGTGGGATACAGATGTGAGGCTTGTTTAATGGCTTGCTGTTGCAGCAGCTGCTGCTGTTGCTGCTGGCGCAGTGCCTGCGGTTGCTGGTAGTGTGCATAGGGATCGTGCATTTGTTGCTGAGCTCGCTGTTGCTGTTGCTGCTGTTGTTGTTGCTGTTGGAGTTGTTGGTATGTGGGCGTAATGGCCGCTGTGTTGTATTGCTGATGTTGTATGGGTGGCGGTGGCAGGGTCTGTTGCTGCTGTTGCAGATAGTGTTGGTGTTGATGTTGTTGTTGTTGTTGCTGCTGCTGTTGCAGTTGCTGCTGATGTTGCTGGTATTGCTGCTGTTGAAGCTGTTGAAGCTGTTGTTGCTGTTGCTGATGTTGCTGGTGTAGTGTTGTCACTGCGGGCGGTATGGGTGATGCTGTGGGTGCATATTGCGAGAATTGTTCAGCTGCCAATTGCTCAGAGAAATATTCCGATTCATCTATTCGATTTTAACGATTTTGATCGATTTTTTTGTTTGTTTAAGGTGACGTTTTATTAGTTACCACATTGTCCACAGTTTTTGTTGTTAGTGTGGATGTGTGTGTGTGTGTTTTGTGTTGTGTTTATCGTTAGGTTAACGGTAGTTCAGAAAGCACACAAATTATGTTGTTGCAGTTGCAATTGATGATGTGGGGTACATATATGCCAACAAATGATAAACAAAGTCCGCAACAAAATAAAAGTAAAGAAAATAAACCATAAAAAACGGAATTATAATCAATATTAATTACAATATGTGACAGATGTGACGGAGATGTTGGACATGGATATAAAAAAAGATAAATAGTGCCGAAATGCAAATGCAGTGGGTAGACTAATTTTATGAATTATAGGAAAATTAATGGCTATGAAGATAAATTAAATGATAAAAGGTTTGGTAACATGTAATAATTTAAATTAAAAGAAATATATTTATTTGGATATTCCTGGGTAGGAAAAGTATCTTGGGTTACCACAGAATTAAACATTTTCCTGTCAACTTTATATATATAATATTTAATTTAGATAAAATACATGCATCGCTTGTAAAAAAAATCAATTCAATAAACACTTTACATGAATCCATTTAAAACAGGCTTTGTAATTTTTTTATACATTTGTTTTGCATGCATGAATGAATGACGTCAATAGACTATTATGAACACATTAAGTCAATTGAAATTCGAATAAATTAATTCGAACAGTAAGCCCGGCCCACCACCAACTAACCATTATTAAACGAACGAGCAGTCACAAACAATAAAGCTTCGATACCAGTGAGTATGAGGCGGTAAAGAAACAGTTACAGTGGGGTTTCATAGAGATGGATACAGATACAGTTTCAGATACAGAAACAGAAGCAGAGATACAGATACGGATAGACAGGGGTCGAATGCAATGCGGCTACTCACTGCTGCTGTCGGACACCTCGGCGGATCCTCGCTGCTTCTCCATGGCCGCCTTCTTCTCCAGATCGCCGTGATATGCCACATTCGATATGTGCTTCGTGTTCTGTTTGATCCGCAGCGTTTCCGGGTCATCGGCCACCTGTCGGATACATAACCAATTAGTAAAGGCATTATTTACATGGGGGAGTATGTTTGTTCCAGCACAGAGAGAAAAAGTTGACTTGGCACTTTAGGGTGGGTATTGAACTATTAAGTTAAATCTAGAAACCTATTTTATTGCTTTTAAAGCATTTACATCTAGTCGCAAATGATTTAATTCCTTCTTTAACTCAATCATTGGTAGCGATTTTTAAAGAATTAATTTTTTAAAGATCGGATACATTAAAAGAATTTTTCATACTCAAGTGATTCAGAAAAGTATTTCTCTTTTATTGTATTGGATATATTTACGCCCTGTGCTTCTCCACTCTCCACTCTTAACTTTTCCACTGACCTGTGTAAATTTGCCTTTGGCCTTCTCAAAGTCCGCGTGGTATTTAACGTTCGACTGGATTTTCGTGTTCTCGGCGATGCGCTTCAGCTCGGGCGTATCGGCAATGGCCGTTGCCTTGGCCTTCGGTATGTGTCTGCAAAGGGGGAGGAGGGGGGAACAAAAAAAAAATAAGAAAACGGGGTTATAGATCAGAGTTAGAGGAGTTAACGTTAGTCAAACTGCAGTTGCAGTCGCTCATTCTGTGGCAAGCCGCAGATAAAGTTCATCATCATACTCGCACAACACACTGTGCCGGTGGCAATCGGCAATCGGAGCTCTGCTCCGGCTTAAAATTCTCCACGCCAGCTGGCCAACTTGGATTCACGGAAATTCCGCTAGAGTGGGTGGAATGAGAGATGCTGATTCTGCTCGGGGGAATATATAAGGCAACAGCATATCCATCTCTGATTTCATGTTGGCTTCGTGTGAAAACCTCTGACCTCGCCTCGCCTCGCCCCTGCTCGGTGCTGCGTTTTTATCAATTAAAAGCAGAAACTACGTGTATTTTTGTGGTTTGATTTGGGTTTTCTTTACCCGTCGGCATATAACGGAAATGCGCTGCCAGAGATTTGTCTGTGGCTGAAGTTTGGTAGATTTGTTTTTTGGGGTAACTTTAGTTTGTAAAGAAACTCCTTGTTCAAATATAAAGCACTGAATTTAAAACAAAAGATTGTAAAACCACTTCACATTTGGGTTTTATAAATGTTTCAAATACGGAGATAAACAAATTTAGCTTTGGGTTTTAAAATGAAATCTTCAAAACATTTTAATTTAATCAAGAATAAAAGTTTAATTAATAGCTAACTTTTAGATACTATTTAAATTGTATACAAATTCTTTTTGAGTTTGGTAGTTTTTTTTGGGGTAGTTTTTCTCGAAGTTTAATTGGATTTTATTTTTTTATTAGTTTATAATTTGTAAACTTATTAATTTTGAACCTAATCAAATTAAGAAAAACTTTATTATTAAAACTAAATTAATAATCGTTGAATGCGAACAAAATACAATACCACTGATATTTTGATAAGAGTTTTCTGCATTATTCTTTGTGATTCATCCCCACAGACTAATATATCAATTTAATTATTGGCAGCAGCAAGGAATAACATGGCGCATCTGTTATACAAAAGTAATCATAATGGACACACACGCTGGCCAGTTTCATAAATTCATGACTCTTTTTATTTGCGGCCACGTGCAGAGTGCTTTAACCTATCAGCGGACTAATCGATCGATAGATTGGACAACGCAACTGATAACCAACCTCGATGACTCGTAAGGTTGATAAACTCGCAGCGGGGAAGACCCGCTTTCACCCTTTTGGCCATATAACCCAACCCCCTCCCATATAAACATATTGTAAACGTAATTGCATGCAAGTCTATTGGCTTTATAGAATATTTATGGGCTTTTTAGCGATGTTCTAAACGCACACAGCTGGCGCCGTGCTTCGAAAGGTGGCAGGGGGATATTGTTTCCACATCGTTCTCCCACTGAAAATAAGTTGCAATCACTGTGGAATGCCAACCAGCGACAAACAATGCAAACTGTCACACACGCACAGAGGTGACCACCACCGAGATGGATGGTATGGCAATGGTGAAATAGGGTATATATACGGTGGATAGTTGATAGTGGCACAAGGCCGTTTAATGACCAAAGCGTGTGAGCAGCAACAGAATCATTGACAGAGCACCGATGCATGTAGGTCTATTCCACACAACAAGAATTAGTCTAGGCCGAATTTAAAATGACGAATTCTATATACTCTTGCTTATATTAGATTGCATAATAATATTATTGATCTTCACCAACAAAAAAACTATAAAACTATATAAGTCTCTTTTAATCAATAGTAACTGGAAAAATCGAAAACTTTGCTTTTATAAAATTAAATATTATACTACCCCATTTTTTGTACTTCTCTATTTAACCAAAAAAAATATGTAATTTGACCTTCTGTTTTCTAAAATGTTGATCTGTTTGATTTGTGATAAAAGCACAACAAAATTAGCTTATGCTTAAAAAACCCAAACCCTTGAGTACATAGCCAACTTTTTGAAAAGTTAGAGGACAAAATCAATCGATATTACATATTGGTAAATCGAATTCTCATGAATATTAAATTGGACAACTAAAATAAGTATCGTGGCACTACTATTACCTTTGTTAAATTTGTTAAATAAAACTATCCAACAAAAAGAGTGTACCCAAGAGCAACAATAACAACCATAAGGACAGCAATAATGCATTGTTGTTGCTGCTTGTAAGCTTTGCTTTACTTTGCTTTATCGTTCAATACGCGTTGCATGTGTGTGCCATAGATGGATGGAACCAGAGAGCGGGGGGGTGAGACGGGAACCAAGGGGCTAAATAAGTACAAAGCCCGAACCGCAGAAAGCATCGTCCGCATTGCCGTTGCGTTCGGTCGGTCGGTCGGTCAAATTGCTGTTGTAGCTGGCACACATTGCTGCTGTTGCAACTGATGTTGCTGTTGCCACTGCTGTTGTTGCTACTGTTGCTGGTAGCTGGTAATGATGACATAACAATGCTTAAGCGCCCGGAGGCGACATTGGCGAACGGCTACCACCAGCGGATGTCTCAGCACGTTCCCAATAGATCACCAGCAACAGCAACAGAAACAACAGCAACAACAGCAGCAGCATGCACGTCAGCAGCAGCAGCAGTAGCAGCAGCCACGCCAGCAACAACAATGCATGTATGTTATATGATGCAATTGCTGTTCCTTTTTTGTGCTTTATTTTTTTATTATCAAAGAATTTTAATTTATATGTAAACAATACACAACAACAGAAGCAAAAACAACAGAAACAGCAACGGAAGGGCAGCAGAACCAACAACATTTCTTTCCGTTGGTCATAATTTCTCCACATTTTCTTCTACACTGACCTAATTAAAGAAGTTAAATTGTCTTTTAAAAAATTCTTATATCGAGTATTCTATTAATTAAAATAAATGTAGGTAAAATAAATTAAATTTAAGATTATAAGGATATTGTTATAAACGCTTTTTAAATAATACAAATTTTTAATAATGAATCCTTTGGAAAATGCTCATTCTAACAAGTTTATTCAGCATGTTTTTTTTAGCAAAATAAAGTTTTTTTCTTATAAATTACTTTTAATTCGAATTAAATGAAAATTTGTCTTCTTATATATATATTTTTTAAAATTTATATTCTCGGAAAAAGAAATGCATAAACCTTAAACAATTTTTTATCTGGTTTATCTAGCCCTGCTTCCTTTTAGCACAACATAGTGTATTTGATAGTCAATCAAAGGATGCAGTTTCGCGCCGCTGTTAATGATTTCCCACACAAATTGCTTTTGATGGGAGAACGGAGGTCTGGAATCCTGGCCATCAAACTGGACGACTACATCGTGCAGTGGCCACATCTTTTACCATCGAGATAAAATCCAACACAAGCGTAATCCACCCAAAACCAGCCCAACACATAAACGAGAAAATCGTTTTGGACATTCATTGGATGTCAACATATTTTTCTGGTTTTTCACTGTTGTTTTTGTTTTTTACTCCTATTTCTTTGTTTTTTTAATTTTTTTCCATGTGGAACAACCAGTGACGGCGAGTGGTGTTGAGTTACCATGACAGTCTTTTGTTGTTCGACGATTTCTTTGTTGTTGTGCAATGGATCAATTTAAGTAAAACAGGGAGGGGCACCTACGACTTTATATTGGCTATGACTGATAAAAATGGCTTACAATGGCTTTTGAAGATAAGAAATTTATATTTATTATTGAGTAAACTTGACTTGTCCTTTTTATATCGTACACTTGGGGTACTGTTTAAGAGTTAAAATATTGATTTATAAATTAACATTAAATTTGTAACAGTTTACACGCTATCCAAATCTTTTATAGCTTAAAAGCTTATTACAAATATACATTCATTAAATGTTTGGAATCATTTTCCCATTAAGAAATAATTTCCTTAATTCGATGACTGAAATTGCATAACTAAAAGAGAAATCATTTCACACATAATTTGCAAAAGCGTTAAAATTGATATTAAATGCATGTCCGACCAACACGATTATCTACTCTCCTCCTCGCTCCCACTCATGCCTTACATACATTTTGCCTCAAAATTTTTGGCATTGGCCCATCAACGTCATCATCGGTATTCATAATCCGTTGCAGTCAATCAAAGTGAGCTAAAAGGTTCGAAAATCCATTCACAGACAGCGAAAGGCAAAAAGTGAGTGTGTGTGAAAAACCCCATCGCGTGTTTAAAGCTTTTAAAAATTTATATTCAAAAGATGAAGAAGAAAGGTGTTCCGGGGTAAATTGTTGACACCACTCCCAGCTCATTTCGGAAGCTAAACAAGCGACCCACAAATTTTTGTATTTAGCATAAAATTGTGGAAAAATGAGACAATGCCCCATCTCTCAGTCTGCCAGTCTGCTGACCCAACTATTTTTTGGTAATTGAAAAGGTTTCTGTGGCTGTTGTCACTTTTGTTTTCTATTTTGTGGGCGGCTTAAGTAATCAGACGAAGATATATGTGCACATTTATACGAATATCCCAAATAACCCTCTGTTGTATTGTTCGAATATTTAAGCTGCGCTTCGAAACGAAAGTAAAAAAAAAAATTGTGATGCAAAATGAAATGAGAGAAGACAAGAAGAAATGTGGCACATGGGGGCTGGGTTTTGGGATGTTGGGTTGCATGACCATGGTTCACTGGGTTTTTATGTTAATAAATAAATGCCAATGATACATACCTACGTATGTATCGGTCTTCTGTTCAGCAGATGTTTCGCAAGCCCCCCTTTTTTTTTACACAAATAAGGGGAAAACGAAATAAAATACTACATAAATGCGAAAAAAGTGCACACAAAAACAAACAAGACATTGTAAACATCTCGTTTTCTAGTTCAATTCCAACTAAATGGGGCCTGGTAATGTAATGTATACAAAATTGTATGAATAGAAGTTTCCTGCCCACATGTGTATGTGTGTATATATGTGAGTGCACTTTTGGCATATCCTGGCCTAAAGCCGGCTCTTTTTCCTGTCCTGTCCTTCTGCTTTTGGCCCTAGGTAGACAACGGCCAGGAAAGCACTACTTCAAGATGCAATTAGGGCGAGGAGAAAGTTTCGTTTGTGGGGTAAGGAATTTATCCTTAAGTTGCAAGTTGCACAAAGTCCTACATATCCTTTCTGAATAGAGCGGACGACAAAAGGAAGCTTGAAATATTCCTTAAATCTGATATATTTGATCTTTGCATTTATCTGCCTTTGCAATTTATTAGTTTGCTACTGGAGTTTAAGTTTATTTTATGGATATCTAAATATATAAGATTATCTTATTGAAACTCAATATTAACAAACAAGCTCATTAATAGTCCAAGTCACTTGACAATAAAGTTCTTTATTTTGTAACCCAAATATTGGGATAAAACAAGTTAATTTCTGAATTTAAGAAATAATTTTATATTATCCTGTTTTCGCATTTTTAAAAGATTGATCTTAAAATAAAACTACAGCAACACCTTCAACCAATCATTTTTCAAGCCAATCTACTCAAAATTAACAAAATTAAATTCTTCCCATCAATCTTGAAGTACTTATCCTATTTAGAGCACTTGCTTCCTTTGGGCCATAACTTCCATGGCCCTCAAAATCCAATTAACAATCAGTTGTCGGGCACTTCAGCTTCATATGTGGCCCAACTTTAATTGCACGTTTCCCTCATTTATCCTGCGAATGAACTTCATAATTTATTGCAATCGTGTTATCCCCACTGGGCGACTGACCTCTCAGCCCGACAGCCCAAGAAAGCGGCACTATGAAAACTTTGTTTTGACCCGTAACTGGATGGGAAACTATCTTTTGTCTGCAGTCGGAACTTAACAGAAAGCCCCGAAGAATAACCAGGCAGGCAGCAAAACTTCTCAAGCAATTATAAAATGCAAACCAAAAAGTGGAAGTTGAAGTCGCCGCAGTTGTAAAATGTAAGGAAGTAGATTTGGTTTTTTTTTTATGTTTTTGTCTCATACAAAAATACCCTATTTTATTTAATTTAAAAGTATAATAAGTTAAAAGTAAAAACATTTTTTAGGGAACACTTTTAAAAACACTAAAAAGGATCGAAATAATTAATAGACAAAATATAATTACAATCTTAGGTTTTTGAGATTTAATTTTTTTTCTTTATAGACTTGAAAAGAAATAATATTGATCAGAAAATTTTATAATTGATTTTTTATATTCTAATTAATTATTCAAAGGGATAGATGCAAGTTTATACGTGATAGGCTTGTGAAGGTTAAATAATTTAAGGCATTAATAATATTTAAGATTTTTTATTTGTATCATATTTTTTGTATAACTGCTGGAAATTCAAAATAAAAGGAATTCGAAACCTCACGAACCTCAGTTAAGTTATTAAAAAAAATAGTTCAATATGCTTCAGCAACACCGGGAGTACCTCGCATAAAAATCTAGTTCGAAGACGGGCAAGAAGACGGTCCGCGTCCGGATTCCCGAACGTGGCGTCACGTAATCGGGGAGCAGCATTGGCCGGATAGGTGCAAACGGTTCGAGGAAATGCAGTGAAAGTGCCGGCAGCGGAAAACGGGGCGTAACCGGTACACTTCTCCGTTAAACCACATTGCTGAATCCATTTTACAATTTATGCAGGCGATGACATCAGTGGAAATTCATACAAAGCGTACGGGACATGTGATACCAGACAGTTTTCGCCTGGAAAATCGTGAGAGGGGGCACTGCGCAATGGAGCTAACGGACGCATAACTCAATCCGCATGGAATTTTTATTCCCGCAGCGGTGGCATCCACAATAAATCTGCATTAGAGCAGCAACAGCAGCAGCAGTAGTAGCAGCAGTCGCAGGACAACATGTAGTAGAACCGAAAGAGGACGATCCACCAAGACCCCCCTTTCACTGCGCCCCTGGCTTTTGGCTCAAGGCCAGCAAATGCTGCCACGCACTGCAGCAAAAAAATTGGGCAAAGGAGTGGAGTTGGTGCTGGCCACAATACAAAGCAAAACACTTGCTCTCTTGTCCGCTTACCCAGTCCAATGTGTGTGACATTGTCTACAACAATGAACATGACAGCGGAAAGCGGTCTGGCCAGGGGTGGTGTTTGGGTGGTATGGGAAAAGGGAACTCTGGGAACCTATAACGCCCCCCATGTGACACAGATTCCCCATGCTATTCGCGAGTTGAACAGCTCAGCAGGAAACAGGAAAACTTCTGTGTGTGCGAAAACGTTCAATGGCGGAGTTAATCACCTGTTTTCTAAAAGAAAAACTAGTTCCCAGAGTTCAGGCAAGACACGATTTTTAAGTTCTGAAAGAAAATCTTGGGCACTGCAAAGATATGTTCCAATTATATAAGAATATATATATTTTCTTTAAAAATTAAAAATCAAAAAAAAAAATCCACTTGATTTGATAAAACTTCTATAAGAGATTTTTCTTTGCCAATTTTAAAATATTTGGAATATACAATTTTTTTTTAACAATTTTGTATTTCATATAAAATTTAGCCAAACAATAAAATTAGAAAATTTGCTTGTTCAATATAATATTTAAGATCTGCTAGTATATACGCTTCTAAATAGGCACAAAACAAATCACAAAATCGAATTAAACCAAACGCGAATAAAAAACAAGAATTAGCTTTGTTCATTTAAAAAAAAAATGCTACCCAAACGCCATTTCTAACCTATAGAGCAAAAATAAAACTAAATAAAATGAAACCAAATTCAATTATAGGCTTGCTGTTAAACAAACTATTACTGGAATGTGAAAATTTCGACTGCAGCCATTAAATCTAACCCTCCATTAGGAGCAGCTGCTGTTATCAAACGAACAATTAACTAGTTCACCGGGTGAACTGGATTGGGCAGCACTGTGTGCCTGGCCCACAACTGCATTTCCGCAGTCTGCATTCCTTTGGCAGTCCGGACTTTTCCCTAACCAGCTGCTGCACTTTTTGTTCACCCACATTCGAGAGTTTTTGCAATTTTCCAGTGAATTTAAACGTTATCTCCGGAGCAGCGGTTCTTCCACTATCTCCCTGGAGCGATTAGATAAACGACGCTAATGAAGATTGCCAGGTGAGTGAAGCAAATCAAGGTTGACCATCCAACATCGCATTCCGATTGCGAGTGGGTGCGGACGATAAGCCTTAAAGTGATTGCCCCCACCGTGTTCCACAATTGTTTGCAGATCTAGATCCATGCCGAAAGGCTGGATGGTCTTCGGCTAGGGGGTGGTAAAAACTTGGTTAAACTTACGCCTCGCAGTAGGGCATTTTGTTGTAGCCCTTGTAGGTTTTCATATTGAGCGTCATGCCGCATTCTGTGCATTTGAAACACGTTTTGTGCCATGTCTGAAACGAAAAAAGAGGGGGAAAACGTTGAATTACAAACGGAGAATCAGAGAAATTGTCGAGAATGCAATATTATTATTGCTATTTTGTTGTTTCTGGTGCCGCTGCTTTTGCTCTTTGTTGCTTGTTAGTCAAATTGGCGCAATGCAACTGAAAACTCTGGGCCAAGCCAAGCATAAAAAGTGCTCTCAAAGGTTTTTCTTTGCCGTTCCGTTAACTAAAAATTTATGCGTATATATTTTCTCCAAAATTAATTGGAAGGCTAACGGAAAAAGATGAGTAAGAAAGATAAACATATAAAAAAAAAACTTTTTATAAATGTTATATAAACCGATATGAGCATGCTTATGATTAAGATTCTATTCTTACAAAAATATTTAGTTGGCCTATTTTACAAATATTTTACATTTTATTCTCTGATATTAAAATTAAAGTTTTATATATTTTGACCACTACACTAGTTAGTGAAAAAGGCAAAAAAAGTAATACGCAACTGCTAAATCTTTTTTATCCAAGATTCCGCATATCCAAAAGTCTGAACTAAACTCGGCGATGAAGGCGAAAAAAAGGTAGATATCTTAGTTAGTACCGTTCAGTTGAGATAACTGGTTAGATAAGCTTGGCCAAGGCAGACAGATGAGTACTAGACAAACAGACATTGAAAATGTTGCGTGATTTGTGGTGACTTGGCATATGAGGAAGAGAAGAGTTTGCATCTCACAGATACTCAGATACAAAACTGCACAACGACCAAAGAAAGAACTTGATGGAACTTGGTTTGATAGCTCAACTTCGTGTTTGGTGTCTGTAGTTACTCCTTTTTTTTTTTTGTTGTTGTTGTTTGCCTGCAACGCGTTATGCAAATTTTCCGAAAGAGGAAAAAATCTCAAAACCGCAATGGAGCCCCACAACACATCCCCTTTCACCCCGCTATCCTTGACGTGGAGGTCAACAAACGATTAACTTGTCTGCGGATTAGCAGACGAAAGAGAGGGGCAAACATTCGCCGAAAGAGATGCCAGATGGGAGTACAAAATATCTCCTAATTGGTTTTCAACGCTGACTGCCACTGGAGGCTGGCAAAAAAAAATAATAAAACCAAAACCAGTTAAAACAACAATTAAAAGTGTAGAAACAAAAAAAATACGATAGTTAATTGTTTGATGGACGCAAACAATAAAAAAAAAAAACAAAAAAAAAAGTGAAATAAAAACCAAAGAAGTCAGTTTACCACATTCCATTGGCCCGAAGAGAAAAGCTGAAAGCGAAACAATCTTTGACCCCCCTGAACTGAAACCGGTATAAATCATCGGATTTTTCTCCAGTGACCCGACTTTGGATCTGGGTTTAAGCAAATGACTTTCCAGCTCAGGGCGCATGCGTAACAGGGGCAGAGGTTTTAGGTATAAGGCTAATTGAACTACCGTTGCAGTTCGACAAGCATTGTCTTAAGTGAAAAACTTTCGATAGATCTAGTGAATGGAATAATATTCAGGTCAAAACGTCAAACAAGGTGAAAATTAAATCAAACTTAAATAGTAAGCTTTCATTAAATGGTAATACAATAACTTTTAACTTAACTATATAACAACAAAGTAAAAACCCGAACTTGTGTTTCTGTGATTTCTAGCGGTTGTATGTAGCTGCTTGACCACAAGAAAATTGCATTTTCAGTTTCACTTTCGCAACAAAGTGCTGTCAAGCTTCTTGGTTTTTTATTTTTCAAATTGTTGTAGGAGTGCCTTTGTGAATCTGGATGCCATGCACATATGTGTAAACATATTTGAATACATGTGGTGAGGTAATCGTCTGGTGGTCAACGACGTACGTCTCGTCTCCCCCGTCAACTGCATTCAATTTCAATTTTCTATGCTCGCTTTAACCCACTTTTTCACTTTTGCTCGCTTCTCGTCTTGATTTTCAATTTGCGGCTCAATTTTCAAAAGTTAAACGTTTCCTCTTGGGTTGTTTTGCTTTGTTTTGGTTTTATTGCTGGGTTGTTTTCTGTCAACCACGACGAGGTGTTAAATTTGCATTCGAATTTGCACGCTTTCAACGTTTTTCGACCCAAGTGGCGATAAAAACAATTGGCATGAGCCACGAAATGGTAGGAAAATCTCGTATTACCACGGCAAGCCAAAGCCAACGAATGACAAATGAGGGCAATAAGCAGCAGCAACAACAGAAACCACAAAAACAAACAAATTTGACTTAAAAAAAATCTATTTATATGTGTAACAAAGAAAGAATAAACCAGACTTGAAGTGTCAAAGTGATTTTTTGTTTAATTTGCATAGTGAACTGAAACTGGAGCACTAGGAAATGGGGACAGAATCTGTATGTTAAGTATTGGTGATATGTAAGAAAAAGTTTCACTGATTTCGATTTTGGCTAAAAAGAAATTAGTTCAAAGGAAGCAGATTATTTTAAATTGTCAATATTTTATGTGCAATATAACACTACTTCGACTTAAAATACCTTAAATTAAACGCCTTAAATCTTTTGTCAATTTCACTTGAACTTCCTTTGAAATTTTCAATTTCCGTAAAAGGAATATATTTTTATGAACTGCTGTTCCCTTTGGAAAATGTACCGAATTAATGTACCGAAGTAGATATTACACTTTAAACTAACATTTCTTATATTGTAAATTTATATTATTTTCCAGAATCAGAATATAATAATAGGTATTTTTATGTTTCTTTTGAAATAATAAAATCTACCATATTTGTGACTTTGATGTAAATTCGTTGGTTTTTATTGGCTACAAACACACTTGAACACCTTACTGGGACAAGCATTATCCCTAAGTTATGAGTGCTTAGCCCAGGAGAGTATTTCAAAAGCAAATTGTCAAAAGTTTTGGCACAATAAACACTTCAAATGCCAAACGGCAAAAGGCAAACACTCTCCAGACATGAGAGCAAAATGAAATCCAGATTCGCATTGTTGTGCCTTACCAGTTTTTATTGCTGTTATTTTTTCTGGATTTTGGTTTTTGTTTGCCGGTCAGCAAAGACAGTTAAGGAAGAATTCTATAGCCATTCAGCGGAATATGCTTTTAGTCCATTGTCCGAGGGAAATGCCTCTCCGCTTTCTTTGAGCACAAATTAAAGTTCGACGAGATGCAGCGCTTAAAAAGCTGTTATTTATGTTCGTATAGCCGCCGGTACCGTTATGAGCTATCAACGGAATGAAGTCGAAGAAGTAGAACTCCCCCCGTCAACTTCGCGTAAGATATTAATCATGATTTAAAACCAACTCGTCCGTCTCTTCCGCTAACTTTGCGTAGCTTTTAACATCCATATCCCCCACTCCAAAAGCAGTTTAATCAAAACAACAACCAGAGAAACCATCAAAGTGGAGAAAAGAACTGCCAATAGTCGCAGTAGAGACGAAAAGAACTTTGCATGATAAAATAAAATAGTTCTGTTTTTTAAATCAGTAAGGCAAATCACAAAAAAATGTTTTTTAAGATTTGTTGTAATAAGTAAAACATATACACAAAATATAAGATATGTATAATAAATCAAAGCGATTCAAGTTAATTTAAAACAAAAATCCTAAGACCAGTAAGACTGAAAATTGAAAAATCAATATAAAAGCAATCAACTTGGTTCGTATTTTAATTTGTAAAACTTTTCAAATTAAGTTAATTTGTCCAACAAATGTATTGTCTAGTGACTACTTGCGATCACCACTGTACCTAAAGTGGAAAGAAGTGGAATGGAGTTGTCTCCACCAGAAGAAAACACCATATCTGAACTCGGTAGCCCCCCTTCTCGGCGCTCTTCACTTAGCGCACTCGACATTGCTGGAGAATGCGTCATCCGCACTCGAAGAGCTCTCATGCAGCATTAGGTCGTGAATTGCCCAGATTCTTGCCGGCAAAACAGCGCAAAAAAGCAGAGGGAAAAGAAATATGTGAAATAAAAAGCGAAACGAACCCAGTTGGTGGCCCCGATCTTCCGCCCTCCAGTCCCCACAATAAATGAAATTAATAAACAAATAATTCGGTTATATCTGTGCTCTCAGATTCAAGTCGGTATACGTGCAAATATGTGGAAAATATAATAACCATAAAAAGCGATTCTAATCAATTGTAGCTTATTGCTCTTATGGCACAACTGTGAGTACACCGAAAAATAAGAACCATATCAAGTTTTGATTAAAGAACTCAAGCTAATATTGCAAATAAAGTTAAAATTAATGCATTTTAATTGAATTTAGGAAATAGATTTTTTTTTATTTATTTATAAGTTTACATACAAATTAATAATAGTTTTAGTATATATTTCACTTTCACTATGTTAAAAATAATTAATTAGTAATAGTTTTTTTTTTATCTCAGTTATATGCTCCCTATATCAAAAATTACTGATCTAGTATTTCCAAAAGTGTAATGAATATATTTCACCACAACGAGGGGAGTGACATGAAGGCTAAAAGAATGTTGAATGGAATGAGGTTGAGGCAAACACGATCCACATGTTCTCATAATGTCCCACATAAGATTTACTTTGGGAGATAACTTGTGTCTTATCTCATAACTTTCACAATAAATATGACTTAATTTCTAAGGAATGATATGACTCAATTTCTATGTAACTATGTAACGGAACCAAATAAACTCTACCAATTCGCAAATACAATCTATAAGATTGTGCACCCTGGTATTAGGATTTATTTTAACCATAGATTGGATGCTGCGATTTCAGTTCATTATTTCGAAAGATTACGTTTTAAAATTTCGCTGATAAATTACGTCACTTTTCCTTGTTGCATTGTGCAGATAAAATAGCAAAAAAAATATAGGAAGTATGCATATGATAGAGGCTGTGCAAAAGTACACTCACATCGTAGTAATTGCAATACCTAACAAGTTCCAGTTTCGCTGCAACTTAAACAAAGGCAATCCAAGTTACACAAAACTGAGTTCCAACTTTTTCTATTAAATTCAATTTATAAACACCCCCCCATCCCACTCAACAAAAAAAAAA